CCCCTCTGTTCCCAGGGCGCTCCCTGGTAACCCCAACACTGTTTATGAGATCTAGACCCTTACCCTAACAATTCATCTTGCCATTAGCGTTTGTCCAATTTCAAATAAGGGGCCATCACTGGGGATTGCTGAGAAACAGGAATAGCGGCTGACCAACCAGTACGAAGCAAGGTACTGACAGAAGTGCAGAAGAGAACCATCCCGTCGTCATCCGGTATCGCACAGACGTGCTTCAGAAGATTCCACCCCGCCTTGCTTGTGCTGCCCAGGACATGGGAGCCTTGTGTTCATTGAGGTCATTATAAAACCAGAGCCGGACGATGGTATGCCATCTCCTTGCAGAAATGTGGTCATGGATTGAAGAACTGGTGATTTATAACCACGTTTTCTTAAAAAAGCAGTTTTCAAACTCTGTGTTAATTAAGCTAACTGGCGTTATTTGGATTCAGTTCACTTAAAAATTCCTCTTTAAATTCACTGTCAGGGAAAAATTTGGGTCTATAAGATGTATTTATATTCTGCCTTTCATCAAGCAGTGATTAAGTAAAATCCAGGGTGGTTTTCTGTTGTCTTTTTGCACTAACTGTCTGAAAGCCAGGAGTAAAATTTAACATCGAACTGTGGAAACCGGTTTAAGCAGGGATCTTGTATCATATCTCTGTTCCCTTGTAGCTTATTTTTTAAAATGTGTGTCCTGTCTCATTTGGACAGGAAATGGAGTTGCAAATGTTTCTATGTCCCCCCAAACCACAGCAGTCTAAACAAAATAAAGAGAAAATAGAATAATTTTAAAAGATTTATAGATTATCTTAAAACTCTAATTTCTGTATCTTCATCTTCAAGTTGGATTACAATTTTGTGGGGGCTTTTAACTAAAAACAAGTCTTTGATTATTAGTACACAATTGGTAATTTAGCAACTGTCCTGTGTTTTGAAATTCTGACCTTAATCTCACTTTATACAGGGTGGAAAAAGTGAGTTAGTTGATCATTTTGAAAATTTTGCAGCAGCTTAAAAAACCTTAGATTCTGCCTTCAATCCGCTGGAGTAAAGAAGCAAGACCATGTCGAATGCTTCGTGTAATCCCTGTTCCCGCGCTGACAGCTGCTCCGGAGCCACGTCTAGGCACCACTTCTCCTTGCCAGGAGGAGCTACCGGGAGCCCAAGCACCCTCCTCTCCGCCCAGTCTTTCCAGTTATTTCTAGTTAGCATTTAACGGTCATTCAAAACAAGACGTGGTTTGCTCACCTTCCAGCCTCATTTGTGGTCCTCAAACTCACAGTGTATTTTAATTAAATATATTTTTGGTGAATATATTTTGATTGTCAGGGAAAGCTCAAACTTCAAAACTGTTTCATCACACGTACAATTCCTTATTTTCAAAATGTTAAATAACGTCTACATTTAATTCCTTATACCTTGTATTTCCCTAATTTTTTTTTAAGTTTTAAAGAATGTATTTCTGTATGCTCAATATTTGCTATTGAGAATGTTAGATATTACATTTTTTCACTTTATTTCTTTTTTACATGAAATGAATTTTTACATATGAAAAACTATTTTAGACTTTGTCAATATTTAATTTCGTCAACTTATAATTTGGCAAGTTTGCTGGCTGAAAGGAAAAAAATTATTAGTCTGCATATGTTGTTATGTTTAGTAAGACATACATCTTAATAAAGCTCCCTTACATTGTCCTATGATTTTTATGTTTTTACCACGTATGCATTTTTTTTATTGTGGTAAAAAGCATACAACATAAAATGTACTATCTTAACCATTTTCAAGTGTACAGTTCAGTCATGTTAAGTATATTCAAATTGTTGTGGAATGGATCTCTAGAACTTTTTCAACTTCCCAAACTTAAACTCTATACCCATCAACTCTCTTTTTTCCCCACCCCTCAGCCCTTGGCAATTACCCTTCTTCTTTCTGTATCTGAGGATTTTTCTACTCTAAGTACCTCATATAAGCGGAGTCACACAGTGTCTGTCTTTTTATGACTGCTTTGTGTCACTTAGCACAGTGTCCTCAAGTTCATCCACGTTGTAGCATGTGCCAGGAGCTCCTTCCTTTGTAAGGCTGAGTAGTATTCCACTGTATGTATATTCCATGTTTATTTATCCACGCTTTCGCCAAGGACATTTGGGTTTCTTCCACCTCTTGGCTATTGTAAATAGTGCTGCAGTGAACATGGTGTGCAGATATATCTTCAAGACCGTGCTTCACATCCCTTTGGAGATGTACCCAGAGGTGGGATTGCAGAGCATATGGTAGTTCTGTTAATATTTTGAGGAAACTTCATACTGTTTTCCACAGCAGCTGCACCATTTTACATTCCCACCAGCAATGCACGGGATTCCAGTTTTTCCACATCCTCACTGACATTTGTTATTTTTTGTTTGTCTGTTGTTATTTTTTTAACAGTAGCCATCCTAATGGGTTTGAGGTGATATATCTCATGGCGGTTTTGATTTTGAGTTCCTTGATGATTAGTGATGTAGAACATCTTTTCATATGTGTGTCATCTTTGGAGAAATGTCTGTTCAAGTCCCTTGCCCATTTGAAAATCAGGTTATTTGATTTTTTTGTTATTGAGTTATAGGAGTTCTTTATATATTATGGATATTAACCCCTTAGCAGACATACGATATGCAAATATTTTCTCCCATTCTGTAGGTTGTCTTTTCACTCTATGTGTCCTTTGATGCACAAACGTTTTAAGTTTGATGTAGTCCCATTTGTCAGATTTTGCTTTTGTTGCCAGTGCTTTTGGGATCATATCCAAGAAATCATCACCAAATCTAATGTCACAGGGCTTTTGCCCTATCTTTTCTTCCAAGAGTTTTATAGTTTTAGGTCTTTAATCAATTTAATCAATTTTGAGTTAATTATTTTATATATGGTTTAAAAGAAGGGTCCAGATTCATTCTTTTGCATATGAATATGCAGTTTTCCCAACAACATTTCATAAAGAGACTGTTCTTTCCTTACTGAGTGGTCTTGGCACCCTTCTCAAAAATCATTGACCATGTAAAGATTTATTTCTAGGCTTTCTTTTCTTTTCTATTGGTCTATTTGTTTGTCTTTATGCCAGTGCTGTATTGTTTTGATTATTGTAGCTTTGTAATATGTTTTGAAATCAGGAAGTGTGAGTACTCCAACTTTTTTCTTTTTGATTTTTACTTCATAAATTACACAATGAATACTTTTATTAATATGTGGTGGGGAGTCCCTGTATTATGTATCCTTTGGACAGATTTTCATAGTCAGATGAAAATAGAAGGTGGAACAATTACTGACTGTATCTGGGCAGTTGAAGTAACTTACCTGGATTCAAATGGAAATTTTGCTTCTATCATAAATTATGTAGATTTGCTACTACATTATCCAATTTGGCAAAGGAATTGCATATACCTGTCTTCTATAGACATGGTCCATAGTTAGTCTCCATGTCACTATTTTTGTCATATAAAAGATAGAAGTTACACATGAAAAAAAGAAAACACTTGAATTCCCACAATCACTTCAATTCCCACCATAGTCACTGTTAATATTTCGTATATGATATCTTCCAAATGTTTCTCATTGCAAATATACACACGTAAATTTTTATCTGCATTGGTAAATAACCTGAAAGGATTTATGTGAAAGTGTGTGTCTGTACAAACTAGAATCATATACACTTCTCTTTTTTCACTTAATGATATTTCATGAATTTAAAAAATGTGTATGGTAGATTTGAATCATCATTTCTAAGGCCATCTGCTATTCCATTGCCTTGGGTCTGCCATGGTTGGCTATTTTTACTGTTGGACATGGGGATTCTGCCTAATTAGCTTTTTTCTTTTATATACAATGCTGTGATTGTATTCTTACGC